TAGAACTTTTGTGGTTTATCGGCGAAAAACTTTTTCAAGTGATTTTCGGCAGCTCTTTTGTCGGCCAATGTTTTTCCATCAAGAGAATTCTGTAGAGATCGAAATAAATGGTAGTCAGACAGTGCAAGGTCCGGGCTATACGGTGGATGCATCAAAACTTCCCAATCAAGCTCCCTCAATTTTTGGCGCGTCATCAAAGATGTGTGTGGTCTGGCGTTGTCATGATGGAAGACAATACCTTTTCTGTTAATCAATTCTGGTCGTTTTTCCTTAATCGCTTCCTGTAATCTATCCAGTTGTGAACAGTAGAGCTCTGAATTAATCGTTAGGCCATGTGGTAACACCTCATGATGGACGACTCCCTTCCAATCCCACCACACACACAGCATCACCTTATTTGCCATCAATCCAGGCTTTGAAGTCGTTTGTGGTGGTTCGCCGCGCTTATTCCATGATCTTTTACGAACAATATTCTTGTATTTCATTCATTTTTCATCGCCTATGATGATTTGCTTCAGAAATGGGTCGATTTCGTTGCGTTTTAGTAGTGTTTCGCTGATGGAAATTCGATCAATCAAATTTCTTTGCGTTAATTCATGTGGCACCCAAACATCGAGTTTCTTTGCGTAGCCAGCCTTTTTCAAATGATTCCAAACTGTCATATGGTTGATTCTTAGTGCATTGGCTATTTCCTGACAGCTCACATGCCGGTCTTGCTTGACCAGTTGCAAAATTTCATCGACTTTTTCAGTGACTGACCAACCAGAGCGAGGTCGATCTTTGATATCAAAATTTCCAGAACGAAATCGAATAACTCCTGCGTCCTGCGTTCACTTACAGCATCCGCGTCGTAAACTTCACAAATTTGTTTGCATGTTTGTGCTGCGTTTTTGTCTTTTTTGTAGTAAAAAAGTATCACATAGCGTATTTCTTCAGAAATTTCACTCATTTTCAAACCAATATAACTTTTGACACGATTGATGAATCACCAAACTTTGTTTACAAAAAATGTAACCTAAAATGTCATCTTTCAGACGCGCGTTCGTTTGATACAATCGGATTAGTGTTGCCCGATATATGACCATCAATACCATCTAGTGATAAAAAACCGCGGATACTTTTTAAATGACCCAATATATCCAATATAGGATATCAAATATTATTGATAAAACAATCACTATATATAGCTATAATGGCATCATATTTTGAGTACAGGGAGGCTCTAGAAACACTCAGATAACTTAAATAGAGATATGAATTATAACGTAAATATTGTAAAATATAAAGGATCCTCTCTTCCTCCACTCCCCTCTTCGCTTAACAAAATTTATATAAGAGAAATCCTCCAAGGAGCAACTCAGTATCTGTACGCTTCTCACTCTGATGAAGTGAACAGCAAGGTTCACGAAACGTTGGCATTAGCAATAGATCATGACACGGGGATAACCCTTTGCTATCTCTAAAGAAAATACCAATGAAAGTCTTAAAAGTGTTATCAAATTCTACGTCGTAGAAATTCTGTTCGGGGCTGCACACAATCAAAGGAATAGGGAACAGAAAATATTATAAGAATTTCAACCTATCAGAAACTGTGTATTCCACAGTAGTTTTTGATAAACTGACTGAAGAATAAGATTGAAATTCTTATTCTCTGTTCTCAATTCCTTTGATTGTGCGTCCCTTAGCACCACGAGTTGGATTTGGACAAAATAAAGACGCACACACTAATTTGAAATGATGAATAGTGAATGATCAATTTAAAATGTTGAGCATAAAATGAAAATTATATTGTTTTTAGCAGAAACAAAAAATGTGAAACAAAAAAGAGCAAACATTCAGAGATGTTTCTACTCACATCATGCAGTTATGCCATGCATTATCTGAAATGTTGTGTCAAAAAGTAATCAAATACAAAAATGTTTCTAAGAAGTTGTGAAGTAAAATATAGTGAATAACATTCTATTGAATGTTATATTAGAGATAATTTTCCGTTTGAAAATTAATTCAATATTAGTTCCGTGCCACTTTTGTTAAAAATAAAAGTGTTATATATAGAGCAAATGGTATGATTTTGCAACACCTTGCATTTCACAAACTGGCATATGCACTTTCATCTCTGCCCAATTCCTACTCATAATGCCACACAATCGAATTTTCACGAAGCACAAAATTTATGTTTACATAGTTAAAAGATCAATACTCGACAAATATAATTTTAATAAATAATTAAATGATATATTTCGTGTGTCATCCTATAGTTGTAGAAATTTTTAAATCAAACTCATAGGCTGAGTTTTGTAAAGATGTCCTTCTTCAACATGATATCTAGTGATATCAAGACATTTGATACTATGGTTTTTTGTTCTAACTGTATACCAATAGCTCTACGAGTTGAAAAATAAAGTTTTTTTCGATTTTAATATAAAGTCTATTGCAGTACTATCAAATTTTGCGTTTACTTTAATCCTGTAAAAGGATTTTTGATTCAGTAAATTCGGAGATTTATATCAATCTGCAAAGTCCTGACAATTTGATCACACCAGCATCCCCTTAAAGCAATAAGTTGTTCGGTTAATTTTGGTCTTAAAATGTTTCTAGAATTAATTACCCTAAGAATATCCCATTACGAATTTATTACTCATTGTTTAATTGTAAGTTAAAAACCGTCACCAAAAGTGTGGCAGTGCTAAGTATGATGACCGATATTAGTGTATGTCATGTATAATTATTCCAAATTCTCGATGTTTCTTTACAGTATTTTAGAGCGAAATTACAGTACTTTATATATGTTTTTCGGAAGTGGGTATGGTAGCATAACATGAAAATAAGTGTCGATGTATATTGAAGTCTTTGTATATAGTGAATGAAATGATTTCTGCAGATGATACGGGTATATGTTGAGCTGTTTGGACTGTGTTAAAAGGTGTTGGGACATTTCGAGGTGTATTCAGATGTGGTGGAAGTGGAGAGGCAGGATAAGGAGTGAGAAAGGAGTGACAACATATGTGGGTAAGAATATGGTAAATCATAGTGGTTAGTTTTAGCGTGTATCGAAGACTTTGTAGTGTGTGGGAGTGGGTGGTGTAGGGATTTGGAGATGATAAGGATATGCTTTGAACTGTGTTGAAACATGGATCATATTAAGATTTTAAAAGTGGGAGTGGGGGTGGAGGTAATATGCTCGATCAATAAAAAAATTTGAAATTGAGCTTCAAATTGTATTTATTCAAAATTTTCACATAAAAAAAATGTAATCATATATTCATTCAAAATTTTGAATTTCCAAAAAATATTTATTTACAAAAAAACTATGAATATTTAACGAGTATT